CCCCAAAACCCCAAAACCCCAAAACCCCAAAACCCCTTGGATTCATGTTCTTATGATATAGGTAATAAATAATTTATTTTATTTGTCAAAACTTAATTTTGATCAATTTCACAAATCCATAAATATGAGCTTAAATTTCTACTTGAAATCCAAAGATGTTGTTATTCTTAAAACAAAACTTGATATAATGATGGATGAATTGATATCCGCAACAGTTAAGCAAGAAAAAGAGAAATAATCAAATAAGTAAGTGAATGAAACTATCTTAAGATGGGGATAAAAATTTCTATCTCACATCAGAACATCATTTCTGGGGAAAGATTCATTCCTAAAGATAGTCAAAAATATCGCAGGCAAAGACTTAGATGATGAAATGGAGGCTTAATCAGTGCGAAGTTAAAATAGTAATTAAGAGGAATCCATCAACTTATATTCATTCAGACAGAATTAAGATTTTGTGAATATTAGTCTTAATTTACAAAGAGATGACTAAGCTGCGAAGATGAATGAATTCTAACAAGTTTAATAGCTTTCAATTACTAAAAATGTAAAGAAGGAGATCTAGTCTGAGCAAGGATTCTCAAGTTTACAGGAATAGTTTGACGGAATAAGCTATGAATTGAATAGAGTAGAGGATAAAATGCTATCATCCTATAAAAGTGAAGGGGAAGCAATAAATCTAAAACTTGACAAAATCTAGAATACTTAAAATAAATAGAAAAATGAGATTTCAATCGAATTCGAATAGCTTAGAGAACTAATTTTGACTCTCAATCAAGAGGATTAACTAAATAAGAAAGATAAGCTCATACTCGAATTAAATAAAGAATTAAGTTTATTGAAAACCGAGAATTAGAGACTACTAATGAAAGAAAAGATAGCAGATAAGATAGGTAGTGAAAAACAATACTAGTCAAATTTAAACTTTCCCTAAAAACAATTTGATGATTAGGAAATTTCATCACTGGAAAGCCAATATAACTAGGATATAAATGTGCAACATCAAACCTATAAAAGTGAATAAAATCATCTTTAATACTAATAAGTGAAAGATTAGAACTCAATCAATAAACCAAATTATCTTGATCATTCATAGTTCACTTTAAAAAATGAGCAAACAACCAAACAGGATATTATTCAGCCTTAAATTAGTAAAGTTAATAGCACCATAAAGTTACCAGATACTCTAAATATGACTTATAAGAAAGATGAACCCAAGTTTTATAGTCAATAGCAGCAATAATTAAACTATAGCTAAAATAAATCTTAGTTGAATTAAATAAAAAGTCAAACACAAAATGACTTAAATTACTTTGATTAAAGGAAAGATTTATAATAAGTTGAGCAATCATTGAACATATAAAACTTTGTCTAAAACTAAGTAGATTTCAAATCACAAGTTTTTGATTTTAGATTTTAACCATAACATGATATCTTTTAAACCTCTAATAACGAAGAAAAAGTCCCACACCAAGTAAATTCGATCCAAATAAGTAATGAGAACAAAAATAAATAGGCTGAAAGATAACTATAATAAAAGCATTTCTAGCAATATCAAAATTAAACAAATACACTTGAAGACAGTATTGTAAACTCTGGCAAAAATAATTGGTTAGATATTTAAAATAAATAGGACAAGAATTATCAATCATAAAAAATTAACCATCAACCATTATAAATGGATTTTTTAGAATAAATCTAATCTGAAAATTTCTTTGTTAATAATCAGCAGATAAATTAAATGTCCAAATAGAAAGGGATTACAGATTAGAAAATAATAAGAAATAAATATTCAGAAGATACTTACATTGATACTAAAATTATGCCCAAGGAGCATTCAATTAATCCTTATTAGATGAAAAAATTAATTACTGATCACAAAAAATCAAATGCTTAGATCTTAAGAAACTATGGAATTCTTAGTAAAAATGACCCTATTGACTTTAAACGCTTCAATAACTAAAAAATAGAAAAATAATACTTATTAGATTCAAATACTAAGTAGACTGTTGTCTATGTTAATTCAATAGATGGAAAGACCCTCATAGGTTAAAGTATTTCTAAATTCTTGCTATTGGATAAGAATTATGGAACGAATACATAGGAAATCAATTTGAATAGTGACTTAATTTCAATCTTTGAATTTGATCGATATATCTATTGTGGTACTCTTATGAAAAATGTTTTTATCCTTGATCGTAGTACCTACGAGGTTATTCATTAGATAGAAACGAAGGAAGTTGTATAAAAATTTATAACTTATTATAATGATTTACCAAACGAATCCCCTTATCTAATGGTTACTTTCTTGGAAAAATTTGGCTAAATTGAATTCTATGACTTCCAAAAGAATAAAATCATTCTTAGTTACTAGCATTCTTGCGGTTTATGTATAAATGACGGATTCTAAGTATCTGGTAAAAATGAAATATGCTTAGCCTTTATTTATTTAGACAGTAAAGATTAATAGTACAAGGATGGCAAACTCGCTTTTATTAGAGTGAACTTTTTCGAATAATTTTAGTCGGATCCCGTGATTTCAATTGAAGAAATCAGTTAAGAGGATAGGATGATTGGTAAACCTATATTATGTGTCTAGCAAATTAATACGAATTAGTTTATTTTATGCTCGACAGGCAAAAACTTCTTTGTAATTGATAGAAGTATAAAGAGTGATGAAGCTACAGTAATAAAGAACCCATCTTCTAGTAGCAATCATAACTGCTTAATTAAAGCTTAAGATTTTTCAGAAAACTATCCTTACCTGATATATAAGGATGCAAAATCAATAGGAGTAATTAATTGTGTTACTTTACAGGCGAGAGTAATCGTCCCAGATATTGCTTACCAAAGATGTGGCAACATCTATAGTCTTTATCAATATAAGGATAAGGATGATAAGTTGAATTTGAGTACTTTGACGCTTGAAAAGGTAGGAGGGAGTTCAAAGAGAGCAGTTAAAAATATAGTATTCTAAGATTGATAAAATCACAACAAATTATTAACAGCAAATCATCAACAACAAAAGCTTGCTTGATCTAATTTTAGAGATTATTCTGAAATTATTTCATTAACAAATTTACATAATTCTTAAAATTTAATCACACGGGGTTTTGGGGTTTTGGGGTTTTGGGG